CTCGCCTGCTCTTTTCTTTGTTTTTCTAACCCATTATGGCAGTCAGCATCAAGTACCATATATCATTTTAAACAAGAGAACTTGATGTTTCAATCTAGCTCATGTAAATGACCAATTTTACATTTATTTTGTCTTAGAATGGATAAATTTACCAGATTTAAGAAAAACGGCAGCAGCTTTCTTGTGGGTTTTTTTTACTCAGCTCAAACAAATCCTCCTGAAGTTTGGATTTTTTCCTTTAGAAAGTTGTACTTGGATATTCTAGATTTCCAGATGAAATTTTTACTACATGTAACAATCCCTAAGCAAGTTATAGCCATTTATTATAACATTATTATAGGCGATTTTCAGTGAAAATCTGGTGTTATTTACAATGTAGATGTGTCCAAAAAAGTTCAGGAAGAAAAATAAATAGAAACATTGTAATAGAGCACTGAAGCAAATGTGACTTTATATATATTTATGTAGTTTCAACCGATCTGGGCTTGGGGGTGGGACTAAGCATCAACAAACTGCTTGTTTGGCTCAGAGGAACAAATCACATGGGTTTCTTTGACGAATCAATGCTGATCAAAACTTGATGATGCAATCACATTCACTACGGAGCATCTGAATGTCCAATCGCGATGAACCCGATACCAAAATAAAGCCGCGGATCTCCTCTTTATGGGACTTTTTAAAGCATACAAATTGGATCAGTGGTTCAAAAGTTATTAAAACATTTAAGAACAACAGTTATTTTTATGCCGCCGGCGGCCGTTTAGGTCTTTAAGGGTTAAACTGGGACGCCATGTCATCCGGACTAAAGAGGACAAGGACAACCCAAGTTGTTATCAGCGCTCAGTTCAGAAGCCTGCATCTCTGATGGTATGGGGTTGCATGAGTGCGTGTGGCATGGGCAGCTTACACATCTGGAAAGGCACCATCAATGCTGAAAGGTATATCCAAGTTCTAGAACAACATATGCTCCCATCCAGACGTCGTCTCTTTCAGGGAAGACCTTGCATTTTCCAACAAGACAATGCCAAACCACATACTGCATCAATTACAACATCATGGCTGCGTAGAAGAAGGATCCGGGTACTGAAATGGCCAGCCTGCAGTCCAGTGCCCGGTTGCATAAAGCACCTTAAGTTTTTCCCTTAAGTGTGATACTTAAGGGGCGATTTCCCCTTACCTAAGAGAATAACTTAAGGGTGTTGCATATAATCTCTTAAATGGTTCTCTTAGGTAAGGGAAACATTTAAGTGTTTCACGACAGCGATCCTGGATTCACGTTATAAAAGTCTGTTGTTGCCATAGATGCGCAAAACACTAACACTAGCAATTACGCGTTTTCATCAAATAAAGTAGGCTAATAAAGTAGGCTAGGATATCGGAATGGATAAAGAAAACAAAAAAAGAAAGCCTAATTGGACAGAGGAGGAGAAATGCATTCTTCTTGACGAATATGATAAAAGAAAAACAATTTTGAAAAGCAAACTAAATCCCAATGTAACTGCTGCAAAAAAAAACAGAAACAGTGGGAAGAAATAACGGAAAAAATCAACGCAAGGAATCTTGATGTGAAGAGGACGGTTCAGGAAGTCCTTGAAAAATATGAAAACATCACTGTGGTCGCAAAAAAAGAGTTGAGCGCTTATAAGAAAGAAGCCAACAAAACAGGTAAGATTGAGCAAGACTACGCTTTTAAGATTGTATGCACCGCACCCTGGTGAAGAGTGCGCTTTATTGCTGTACAGTGTTAAGACCTAACCATTACAAAACTGACCAACAGGTGGAGAACCGCCACCGGCTGAGTTGTCGGACTGTACTATAATGGTACAAAACATCATTGGAGCTGACTCACCTGTCCTGTCTGGTATCTGTGGTGGTTTAGAGAGTGAAGCTGAACCAGTGCAACAGTGTAACATAGAGTGAGGCATTAAGTTATTGTTCTGTATCAGCATAGAATAACAGTGGTTTAGAGGATACATTATTATTTTGACATCATTAGAGACATAATACGTTATAACATAATGATTTAACTGACATTCATTTCACATTTAGACCCTTGCAGCACTCTGAAAAACAACTTCAGCACCATCAGATCGTCAGCAGAGCGCCGATACAGGCAACCGCTAAGTAATGATTTATGTTAATCCAACGTAGAACAGCTTTAATATTATTTTTTAAGATTTTCTTAATTTTCCCCATTACTTGCGTATTTCAGAAGACCGCAAATATCACCTGCAGCCAAAACAAGAGAAGATGTGCTGGAACTGCAGAGAGAGGTTCTACAGCTGGAAAAGGAGAAACTGCAGCTGGAGATTGAAAAACTAAAGGAGGAGACGGAAAATCAGGAGCTCTATAATTTTATTCTAAATAACAAACTTTTACAGCTAAAGGCTGAAGGAAAAATAACAATAACTACAATTGAGTAATTTTTTGACAATTGTTTTTTCAGATTTCAGATTGTGTGTGTGTGTGTATGTTATAATAATAAAAACTACTAGTACTACTACTACTACTTCTTAAGATGACTACTATTAATACAACTATATTATCAGTTAAAGAAAGCATTTACAATGGCATCTCTAGCAGCATATCCAGCCTGTTGGAAATCTTGATTTTGAATCAGATGCAGTTCTTCATAGCCCTCTTCATTCCTGTGCTCATCCTCTTCTTCGATAGCAGAATACGTCTTGGAAAGGTTGAAGAGCACAACACAGGCTAAGGCTCAATACGCAGTTTGCTGTGGAGACAGTGAAACCTGCGCTTCAGCTGTCCGATGGTCCTCTCAATAATCGACCTTGTGTGGGTCAGCGCATTATTGTACCTTTCCTATTCGGGTAAAAAAATAAAGAAAAAATAATAAAGATTTTTACCAGTAGGCTATCAACAGTGCTTTAAGATAAATACTATGAAGGTAATTTATTGCATAAAAGATTTTCTTTCAGAGTGCAAAATATTTGAGGCTTTGATTATTTTAAAACATACACAAATCAGGTAAGGTGTTACAGAATTGACAACGTGTAGCAGCAACACAATAGAAAGTGCATACCTATTTTAAATACATATTTTAATACATTTATAATTCAGTAAACTACTGCTAATATTTCTTTAATGCTCACAATTTGATTAACATTTTCCATGCAAATCTTTTAGGCACCAAATTATACCTTCATAGGAATATACGTATTAATTAATTACATGCCTGTGCAGCATTACGGGGATTCATGAAGGGCGTCATGAGCCATGGACGGCAGGGGTAGCCACTGTCCCCGAGCAGGAGACCAGTGTGCACTCCAGCTTCTAAATCTCTCCCTAGTTTGCTCTCCGCCAAAATCCTGTAGTCATGTGTAGTCCCGGGCCATGATGCAACAACATTTATAATCTTGCAGAGATGGTCACACACTAATTGTACATTTATTGAATGGTAGCCTTTTTTGTTTACGTACTGGTCTTCGTGTGTTTGGGGCGCCTGTATTCTGATATGTGTGCCGTCAATAACACCACATATGCGAGGAAAACCTGCTTTCCGAAAAAAACTGGTTTGAATGACCTCCTGGTCATGACGGGATGGAAACTTGACCGTTGCGTTTAAATGACGGGAAAGAGCCCCCGCAACCCGGTGAACCACTCTGCTGACAGACGATTTATGCACGTGGAAAACGTCTCCCACTACCGTCTGAAAACTTCCAGTTGCAAAAAAACGCAGTGCTATAAGCAGTTGTAACACTGCAGGTAAAGAGTGGTTGCGATGTGTGACATGGTCAAGGTCGCCGTCTAGTTTGTTAGCGATGTCAAAAATTGCGCGTCATTTAAACCGGTATTCAAGCAACAATTTTTCATCGCTAAGATGGTCCAAAGGGTTCTCCCGATCTCTAAAAATTCGTCTTTGCACATAATTATCTTCAACTGGTTCCATAAATTCAGCCATGTCGTCTTATTTTTGTCCGCGTTACTCTTAAGGTTACGATTTCCAAACCTTAAATTATACTTAGGGAAATGACCGTTAAGGGGTTTTATGCAACACTTAACGCTTTTTAAGGGATTACTTAAGTGAAAAAAACAGCATTTAAGGGAAATTCTAAGTGTTTTTGACGTTTCACTTAGAGAAACCCTTAAGTAACACTTAAGGGTTTTTTCTGCAACACCCTTAGGCTTAAGGGAAACATAAGGGAGAACTTAAGGGAAAATTACACTTAAGGTGCTTTATGCAACCAGGCACAGATCTTTCCCCTATAGAAAACATTTGGCGCATCATAAAGAGGAAGATGCAACAAAGAAGACCTAAGACAGTTGAGCAGCTAGAAGCCTGTATTAGACAAGAATGGGACAACATTCCTATTCCTAAACTTGAGCAACTTGTCTCCTCAGTCCCCAGACGTTTGCAGACTGTTATAAAAAGAAGAGGGGATGCCACACAGTGGTAAAAATTGCCTTGTCCCAACTTTTTTGAGATGTGTTGATGCCATGAAATTTAAAATCAACTTATTTTTCCCTTAAAATTATGCATTTTCTCAGTTTAAACATTTGATATGTCATCTATGTTGTATTCTAAATAAAATATTGAAATTTGAAACTTCCACATCATTGCATTCTGTTTTTATTCACAATTTGTACAGTGTCCCAACTTTTTTGGAATCGGGTTTGTAAATGATGTGCATGGATACATCATTAATAACAAATACTACAATATTCCATAAAAAATGGTGACTTTAAGCCTTGACTTGGACTAGTGACAAGAGATTTGACTCAAACTCTGCATCAAAGACTTCTGTGAACATGCTGGAGTAACATAATTTAACATTAAGTAGCTTAACAAAGGGCTGTTGTGCATTGAACCAAAGGTTTAGGGTGTTCTGGCTATTAGTGAGATGATATCAGCTGATCAACCATGCGTCTGACTTGCACATAGCCTTTGTGGGAAAATATAACCATGCATCATGTGGCAAGCTATAAATAACCCAAACACTGCCGTTTCAATGCATTTTTTATTTTTTCTGTCTTCACAGGCAGAACTTAGTGAGCAGGTGGGACTTCTGGACTTTTGGAGAGTTATGATGTTCATCACCTTTGCAGAGCGAGTAGTAACTGTGTCAGATGAGAGGGTGCAAGTGGCAGATGAGATTTTTGATGGTGTAGAGGTGATTGTGTATCAGCCTACCCAGCAAGAAGAAACTGGAGAGCTGAGAAGAGCCATCATTTACCTGCATGGAGGTGGATGGTGTCTTGGCAGCTCCCGTGAGTATTATTAACCACACACTCCTGTATAACGGAATGTCCTAGCTTTCATATCTTAAGAGTAAGGTAAATGTATTTCTATTCAAGTCATTTAAGTACTCAGGGATTAAAGTTCTCCTTTTTCTGCGACATATTTCTTGGATTGTATGAGATCAGCGCAGATCAGGGTAAAAAATTAACGGGGGCTTGGGGCAAAAATTCCAATGCCCCCTAAATATAAGATGCAAAAAAATTATGACTGTCGAGACTGGAGTGAAATGTGAAAATATTTGAAGTGTTGATTGCAGCATTTAAATTAAAGGTATGCTCATCACGCTCACTGACTGAACTCTCGCAAATTCAATTATTAAAATCAACAAAGTCCGGTACGATGTACATGATTCATTTTGCAGTGTAGACAGCTTCAGGGTGTCACGTAATGTAGTTAATAGAAACTCTCACGACAAGGAATACTTCAAGTAGAAAGGCTTTAATATCAAATACTCATGTTAAACGCAGGGGAAAAACCTTATATATATTGACGAGAATGGACGAAGACTGAGGGAGAACACAGGGACTAAATACATGGAGCTAACAAAGAAGCTTGATGAAATAATTAATGAACACAGGTGGAGACGAATTAACGGGAACTAGGGCAGAACTAGGGGGCTGTTTACACCACACTGTTTTCAACTATATGTGGCAACTCGAGTGTTATTGGTGGGGCGGGGCACTGATTGCACACATGCTCAGCTACCTTAATTGGAGTTCACTTCCCGACTACGCCACCTTGGGAATTTCACCCAAGGAAGTAAACGCACCCTCTAGAGGCACGTGCAGGTTCAAATCACCATTTGAGCCAGAGACATAGGTAATCATACAAAAACATATTTTATTAACAGTTATAAAATGGGCATCAACAAGCAGCCACACTCATCTCATTAACAGTTTCAAATATTACTGGCAAAAGAACTGGGGGCTTACCAACAGGGGCAGTCTCAGATAGAATAATCACCATAAAAAAATGCAAATCACAAATCACAGTGCACTCACACACTAGGACACACACACACCGACTAATGTCAGTGAAGAGCACGACACACAGTGAAGGAGGCCACCACCCAGAGAAAGTCACTCGTCTGCCCCTGGTGCCCAGATCTGCCGACAAAAAGAGAGAGAGTAAGAGATCTGCATAAACTCAAATAAAAAAAATACTATAAACAAATAAATCCAGCGGTAGGGGTTCAGTCATAATAATAATAATAATAATAATGTATATTCAATGAATCACAATAAATAAATTGAAACAAATAATACCAACTGGTTGAAAACTGATTAAAAACATAAACCAGATGACAAAACAACAGAGGCTATAAAGCATTTCGAGGCGCACTTCTGCGACTAGAGCCAATTAACATGGAACGCTCATTGGGAGCACATTAGTCTCATGCTAGACACGGAACAGTTTCGTCCTGGAAACAGAACAGCAACCCTGAGACAAGCCGTAGAGCGTCGGAGCATACCGCACTTTATCAGAACGCCGTCATCACGCGCGATAGAACATGCTGCACCAGGGTTTTATATCCCGAATTCATAGAGTCAGGCATCACTGATAACCTCAGTTGCGACTGCGAATGGACTTTAGACATCTCAAAGTCCCAGCACCAGCAAACACCACGAGTCAGTGGCTCAAAAGCGTCGGCGGTCTTTATGACTGGCCTTACATGTTGACATTCAACACAGGCAGCGGCGGCGCATCGATGACGTCACAGGCCCCCGAAAGTGACACACACCTACAGCTGGCACCTCATGTTTTTATACATTTATGGTCACAGCCCATTGGCCGAACCTTAAATTACGAATAAAAATAGGAGGGGTTAATAGTCCATCCTGCCACATATACGTAAAACATTTTAAGCGTTTTGGCCGTTCGTTTACATGACAACAGCGTTTTGGGTGGCTGAAAACGCAAACCTTTGAAAAAGGGTTTCAAAGTGCAAGTTTTGGAAAAAGGTCTCCACGTAAACAACAAAAACGCAAAACTCTAAAGGCGATGACGTCATGCACATGCGTATTACGTGTTCAGTCTATAGTGTTTCATCGCCATCTAATGGCCTGGCAGCAGAATATAGCGTTTTCAGTTGTTTTCGTGGATCTGTGTGAATGGAGACCGTTTTGACAATGGTGTCGTCTGTACGCATTTTTAAGCATATCGTTGTTGTGTAAACGTACCCTAAAAACACAATGAAAACACAGGAAAGACCAGACATGTTACACTGGGATTAGAACAGGAGTTTTTGAGCGTGTGCAGAACTCGTGCTGAACTGAAGTCATTAACTGCTTTAGTGATCAGAACGTTCTTTTCTCTTCATTATACAATTTATTTTCAGTTTGAATGACTTTTGTTTGTCATGCTGCTAAGATAACCAATGTGAAATCTTGCTTTTGTAATGCGTAAAAACAAACTAAATGTTGATTATTTGTATAACTAAAAGTGTGTCAAATATTGCAATATCATTTTCATAGATTACAAATCGCTTCGAAACTGTACAACCTGTAGATGAGCTGTTCTAAAACATCTTCTACAAAAATGCTATTGATCTCACGTATTAAAATAAAGTGATGGATAAAGGAATATGACCTAGCCTGGAAAAGGTTAACATACAGAAGATATTTGCTTTAATCCCTGGGTACTACTTCACCAGCTTAATTAAATAAAATTGAAAAAGATTTTTTTCTTTCTCACCATAGGTATGGGCCCATATGATCTCCTAGCCAGGCACATGGTTACTGAACTCAACGCAGTTATTGTATCTGTAGAGTAAGTATCTAATGTTTATTACAGCCACTAAATCGTCAACTCAATAAATATAAACTGTAACCCGGTTTGTAATAAAATAGTAATATTTCGGAATAGAATTCCCTCAATTTTCTTTCATTTTAAGCAGGTCCTTTTAGTAGCTTTACCTGAATTAATACTACTCATAAATATGCAAAAAATGTGATGGGCAACAAATTATTATTTTCAGCAACATCAGTTGAAACCGTCATGTATTCTTCTCAACAGTGATGGGAAGGCCGATACTTTTCCGCAAGCTGGTTCTTTCGGATCGGATAACTGTTATATTTCCAATACCTATAATTTGTTATACTTTATGCTTTTCAGCAAAAGACATCAGTAACATACATTTTGCCCTCTTTATGAAACCCTCGGCAGACAGTTCTCAGCATGTCAGACATGCCCTAAAGATTTTTCTCAGTTCCAAGGAAAGGAGGAAGGTTGTAAGGGCCGGGACTTCCCTTGTTATTGACCATAGAAGCTTGGGTATCTTCTACTATTGGAAGATAACAGCTTAGAGAGTGGCACCATTTCATTCAGGCCCTTAGCGTCGAGAACGATGATTGGCATGGCTCTTCAGTCTTTTACTGTTAAGGAAGTCTGTGTACTGCTGGCAAGATCTTTTGGCATCTTATGGTGGCGTGCTACAGTGCTCAGTCGCCGGCAAGCGCTTCCCAGGTTTCGCTTGGGAAGCCGAACAACTGAAGGTCACACTTTCAGGACATCCTTGGGCCGGCCGACTGGACGAGGGGCATCAGCAATTTCGCCGTACAAAATTGCTTTCGGTAAACGTTTTTCATCCATGCGGTAGGTGTGGCCAGCCCATCGTAAGTGGCAGGTGCGCAACATAATGTAGAGGTCTGTGCTCTTGGTCGTGGAGAGGATATCCGAATTTGGAACATGGTCCTTCCAAGTTATGCCAATAATTGAACGCAGACAACGAAAGTGAAAGTTGTTCATGTCTACAGTAGGTGCACCAAGTTTCGCTGCCGTACAGGAGAGTGCTGAGAATGCAGGCCTCGTAAACTTTGATTTTTAAGTGGAGAGAAAGTGAATTGTTCTTCCATTCTCTCTCGCTAAGCCTGCCGAAGGTTGATGATGCTTTCCCAATACAGATGTCTAATTCGCAGTCTAGACTGTTGGAGGTGTCGACTGTGGAACCCAGATAGGTAAACTTTGTGATATTTGTCAGTACGCTGTTGTTGAAGGTGATTGTGGGTGAAAGCATAGCAGGTTGGGCAAAGACTACTGTTTTTCCCAGGCTGATCTTCAATCCAAACTCCTCACAAGCAGCAGCAAAAGAGGAGCACATAGCCTGCAGCTCAGTCTCAGAGTTGGCAATGAAGGTGGCATCATCAGCATATAGGAGTTCCCGGATGTGGACGCGGTTGATCTTTGTTTTTACGCATAGTCTTGCTAGGTTGAAGAGATTGTCAGAACTGCGTGTATGAAGTAGCACTCCAGAAGGAACAGGGAAAGCTCGGCACAAGACAGCGGAAAAATATATATCAAAGAGAGTTGGAGCTAGTACACAGCCTTGCTTCACGCCACAGAAAATTGGAAATTCCTTAGAGGGAGAGACCTCTAACTGTATTGTTGCCATCATGTGAACATGAACATGAAATTCTTGTATGATTTTCAAGAGTTTAGGTGGACAGCCCAGTTGGCGAAGTATGGTAAAGAGGCAGGACCTACTGACATAGTCAAAGGCCGTTTTAGATCGACAAAGACTGCATACAGAGGCTGACCTTGCTCAATACATTTCTCTTGGATTTAGCGAACTGAGAAAATCATGTCGATGGTAGACCGACCAGGCCGGATTGGCTCTCTGGAAGTATCCTGTTTGCTATGACCTGTACGCGTAGGAGGATGAGGCGGGCAAGGACCTTGCCAGGCTGGGAGAGTAGAGCTATGCCGAGGTAGTTGTTGCAGTCGCAGCAATCCCCTTTATTCTTGTACAAAGTAACTATGTTAGCGTTACGCAATTCGTCGGGGATAGTGCCTTCATTCCAGCAGGTTGAGAAGAGGTGATGGAGTTCCACGACAAGTGTGTTGCCACCGCTTAAGAATATTTCAGGTGGAAGCCCATCCACACCAGGGGGCTTTGTTGTTCTTTAGGAGGCTGATGTTTTTTTAACCTCATTTAGAGTAATGTAGTGATGTTGTCAAGCTCACGCCGGATTGGAAGTTGGGGAACAGCAGATAAGCTCACTGTATGCTGAGCCTGTAACAGCTAGTGTTCCACCCAGCGATTGAGTTGATCGTCGAGGTTTTTGAGTATTTCTCCTATTTAGGATTGTAGAGGGGAGGACTTTTTCACCAGAGGTCCTAGAGCCTGCTTTAGACCCTGGTACATACCACCAGTATTACCGGTAGCAGAGCAATCTTCTACACGTCTGTAGATGCTTTCCCAGTAGAGGTGTTTTGCCTCCCGAGTTAGGCACTGCACCTCTGAGCGGGTCTGCTTCCAGTAAGCAATGGTACGAGGGGAGGAGTCTTGTTTGACAGCCAGTCGTGCCACACGGTTATCCACAAGTGATGGAAGGAGTGTGTCTGCGTGACACCTAAACCAGTCAGGCTGTTTTTAAGTACGTCTACTGAAGCTGGAAAATGCGCAATCACTAACTATGTTACAACAGCGCAGCCAGGCCGATGTAGCATCCTGGGTGGGGGCAGACAGAACAAAATTGGCTTGCAGCGAAGCCTGAAACTGTTGGCGATTTTCAATTGACTGGGTCGCAAGAACGTCAAGCGTCGGAGACGGCTTTGGAAGAGACAGGGATTCTCTTGGGTTTGAGTTTAATCTTGCAGCACACAAGTGAGTGATCTGTGTCGCAGAGTGCATTGCAGTCGGCAGAGTGCATTGACCTAACATGAGTGAGGTCCTGAAGGTGGGTTTTTTGGATGATCACATGGTCAAGTTGATGCCAGCGTTTAAAGCGTGGGTGTTGCAATGTCATCTTGGACCACATTGAGCCTTCAAAGAATGATGATGGAATGCACAGCTTATGTGAAGCGCAAAGCTCAAGGAGGCGCTGTCCGTTGTCGTTCATTGAGCCCACACCATGTGGACCCAGCACGTCTGGCCAGGCGGTGGTGTTACTGCCTACACGAGCATTGAAATTGCCAAGAATGACTATGCGATGGCCACGACTAATGTTGGAAAGAGTTTCACTCAGCAGGAGATAAGCAAGTGAGGATCGGGGCATAGGTGGACAGTAGTGTTACTGGACCCGAGGTGGTGTGCAGTCGCAGTGACGACAGCCTGGGAGAGATGGAGATGGGAGTTTCAACGAAACCTAACAGCTTATTGCAGATGGCAAAACCCACTCCATGCTTTGGTCTTTCCTTGTCAGAATAGCCAATCCAGTAAAACGTGAAGTTAGCTTCACGTACAGAGCCACTTCCGATGAGCCACATCTCGCTTAATGCTGCGATGCCCACCCCGAGTCGTAGTAGTTCCCTGTCTATAACAGCAGACTTCCGAGGATGGACTCGAGACAGGAAGTCACCCCTTGAGTGCGGACATTCCAACATGCCAAACGCAGTTGGGAGGCAGTAGCAGCATGACGACCGGGCTCGCCTGCCTAGAACGCGAGCCCTGCCGAGCAACGGCAGCACCCCTGTTTGCAGGGGGCTCCCGAGTTGCCAGTCGCTGAGAGTTTTCTCCAGACAATTCCATCGTAGTTGCTTGAAACGTCAAGCGCCGGCGCTAGAAGTTAGTGGATGAATGCATGCCCAGAACAAAGCATCCACCTCTGGACCCAGCACTGCAAGCACCAGCGGAGCACAAATGTGCGACAGCTGGAGCAGTGATGGGTTGCCCCGCAGTATCCCTGACCTTTGATCATAAGATGGTTCTTCCGCTCAGTTATCGGACATGGGAGACCGGTAGCTGAATCCTTCGGCCGCGCTCACACCGTGACTGCCAACTCCTGCTTCCAAGATGTTATATTGCTATTTAACCCATAGCTGGGGTCTGGGTTGGTGAGAGCCAGGGCATGTCCACACACCGGTGGGCCATGAACTCAGCACCTCTGGTGCTTCAGACTGCTCCGAGATCCATCATGCACTTAGCCTGGGGCCGCAAGGTACCCAGTTTACCATGGTGCACCACGTGGAGGTGGCATGAGAGTCTTGGCCGACGAGACGCTCTAACCATCAGTGAGTTGGACTTACATAACTGCCCCCCTTCACTCTTTCAAGTATAGATGGTGGTTGCAGCTGGAAGTGAGAGAGACAAAGCACCCGAGAACCAAGCAGCTAAGCACTCTACGCAACTACACTGCAACACTACACGCACGAAGGCCCTGTGTGACCAGAACACACCACACCAATATACCACTATAGTCTATATCAGTGTTTCTCAACTGGTGGGTCGCAAGACCGTTTTGAGTGGGCCACGGAGTGTGCAGTAAAAGAAACAACAACATTGTACTTCGTGTGTTAGGTGGGAAGGATTTGCATGCAGGTACGGTACAGTATGATGTTTATTCTATTCATCAGGAGCAGTTTCTATATGTTTCAGTAACAGTTCGTGTTAGTATTGTGTATTTACCATGGTAACTTGTTTCCTTAACCCCAAAATGAATTTGAACATGCATACAGAGGTCCCAAGCAAATGGAACACTAATCAACATTATGGTGACTTCAAAACAATTACAGTCGTAAAGAATATATTTATTACAGTGGCATGATTAAAGACAACATTATAATGTGAAATCACAATAAAACAAGAGCAGTAAATTAATATGATGTCAGCATCATTCTGCTGTTGATTCAAAGTCATTTGTATGAAAATGACCCAGCATGCATTGATTTCACAGTAAATTTCTTACGAATGTAATTTATTGTCAAATAATACTCTTTAATCCTTTAAATTCCTGGCAATTTTGTGTAAGATATAATTGAAACAAATGTAACTCTACAGTTCCTGTTAGACATATTGGAGTAAACAAGATCTTGTAGCCTATTCACCTTAT